GTGTGTGTGTGTGTGTGTGTGTGTGTGTGTGTGTGTGTGTGTGTGTGTACCCGTGCCACGACATGGCAAGCCAGGGGGCAACTGTGGCCATCAGTTCTTTCCTTCCACCTTTATGTTTGTTCCAAGGACTGAACTCCATCAGACTTGGCAGCACGCACCTTTACCTGCTGAGCCATCTTGCCTGCCCTCTCTCTTTGTTTTAGGGGACACTGAATTGAACTGTACATGTTTCAGACTCTACAGAACCTGGCCTTCTTTGCACAGCATTCCGTCAGCACTTGCTAGTTGCCAGGTTTTTCTCTGAGCACATTTTCCGGGTCTACAGCAATTTAACCCTCATATAAATCCTGTGAAGTGACGACCATTAACATCACCAAGCTGTAAATGAATTGATTGAGATCAGACGAGTAACCTGCCAAAAGTCACGTGGCTAATGCATTGCAGATCCAGAACTTGTACCCAGGAATTCCTGATCACTAGTACACAGCTGTGACTGTAAACTTGTGTTCTATAGCAGTTGTGGGCCAGATACTTCTTTACCCCTGTCAGTGGTTGCATTTACAGTCGCCATGTCAAGTAGCAGTATTTTATCACCTTCAAGTGTCTGTGCAATTTTGAATAGGCCTGGGTTTTCTGACCCAGGGTCTCTCAGAAGGCTGCAGTCAGATGGTGGCTAAATCTGAATCAACCATAGGTGTGTGTAGTTGGGATGTGGCTGAACCCGTGTGTGTGTGTGTGTGTGTGTGTGTGTGTGTGTGTGTGTGTGTTTGCTCACGTCACCCTGCACAGTCTCTCTGCATATGGTATCTGTGCTTCTGCATAGCACAGCCGCCTCAGCAGGCAACTAACATGGGAGCTGAAGACTTTCTGACATGAATGCTCTCACAGACAAGTTGGTAGTCTTCTGTGACCCACCCACAGAAGCAACATGTGTCCTTTCTGCTGTCTTCTATTGGTCAAGATAGTCACAAATCATCTCCAGTTTCATAGGGGCCTTTGAGGCCACCTCTCAATTGGAAGAGGAGCAAATTGCAATATACCTTGCTGCTGCCTGCTTTGAGAAATGCTGCCTTCTGCATAACTAATTTCTGTAGCCCATGGAAAGCTTTAAAACTCATTTTTTTTAAATGCTACAGAGCTGATCACGTGTTCACTGATTCATTACAGTTTGTCAACAGCCTGCTCTTCTGATTGATAGGATGTATGCAAGGAACAACACATTGGCAGCATGTACTTACAGGACAGTGCTGTAGCTTATGGCCCTGGGACAAAAGGAACCCATCAGCCTGTATATAAATGGAGCCCAGGCCCCTGGCCTCTATGTTCAAGATTCTTAAGTTATCTGTAGAATTTCGAAACATCCTCTGCTTCTAAAGCAAAACAAAAACAACAAAAACCTTGTTATTGAACTGTAGGTTGTAGTGCACTCAGAACCTAGAGGCTGTGCTGCTGACGGCGGCAGAGCCAGGGGTCCCTCTGTGGGGCCACTGCTGTCTAGTCGAGTGTCTGCCTTTGGCAGTTGGCCAGGAGTGACGGATGGGCGGGCTTGAGCACATCTGTGATGTAGGACACCCGCTGCATGGGTCTTCCCCTTTAGCTCGGGTTTTCTTTACCCGATTCACAAGAAGGCTGATTCACAAAGATGTTTGGAGGTGAGCATCCTACTCACCCTTGCAGTAGGCAGAAAAGGTAGTGGTCCCCAAAAGAGAAATGTTTGGAGTGATTGCATCGCTCCTCCGTGGCCTTGGGGATGCTGTATATCTTTCGGTCGGTTGGTTTCTTTGATACATCTTGTCATTTGTTTGGAACTGGTGGAGTCCCAGAACTCTGCATGCTGAGTGTGTTCTAAGCTCCAGCTGTTGTCACCACTGCCTTTAGCAGCTAACTGGTCCCAAGTGGGTTGAGGGCTCAGTAACCACTCCCATGCCTGACCCCCTACTTCCGGGGTCTCAGAGCACTTCAAAATGTAGGGGTGACCAATGAAAGCATTTCTTGCTGCTTTCCTGGGGTACCCAGGACAGCTAGCCTCATGAGCTTTCTAGCCCCAAGTCGAACTCTGAAACTCCAGAGACTAGGGCTGCCCAGCCGGAGGATCGCTAAGTCATGAATTCTCCTGAGTGCTGGTCAGATTTGATGTTTAGGATGGGAATGTGTTTTGGTTTTGAATTTGTGGTTCAGCTGGTCCAGGCTCCCTGTAGATAATTTACCAGGTGATGATTTCTGAACTGCCATTTCCCACCATCGGCTCCCACTCAGTATTGTTAGTCTGGCATTGCTAACTTCTGTAACACGATCTACATTTTCTAAGATGGGGAGATGGAGGCTGAACAGCCTCTTGAGAACATCCTACTTTTTTGGCTTAGACAGATGAGTGTCCCAAATTCCTCATCTTATCAAGAGGACTTTTTGCTTTGAGGGAAGTGTAGAGCTGGTTACTGTTCTTCATTTCACTCGCAGGAATTCTTCATTGGTGTTGGTGGTGACCCTCCTCACTTAGGCTGCTTCTTCCAACGAGACAGGCCCAGAGCAGGTCCTATCAAGTAAGGCTGCCGAAGGGACAGACAGTCCCTCACACATGGCAACAGGGGCCTGAGCTCCAGTTATCTCGGGAGAGAGTTTGCCAGTTTTGTTCTTAGTAATTCGATGGCTGGTTGTAGATCCAAGCCATTCTGGGCCCCTGTGAATGTGACTCTTCAGGTTTGAATTAACCCATCAATCCATTTGTGGCTTTCTACCCATGAGCCAAATGGCCTGTTCTAACTAAAGGACAGATAAACACCATCCATACAGCTACTTCACAGTTCACCTTGGAAACGTTCTAATGGCCAGTTTACATAGCTCTGTGTCCAAGCAAGACAGGAAGCACTGGGCTGTTCCTATTTACTGCTACTGTGATGCCTCCAGAGATATTTAGATGTTAGCCCTTTCTGAATGTAAA